GGTGTTTTTTTGTGGGGGGGGGGGTTGGGAGGAAGGAGAGCAGGTGTAACCAACCCCAAATTGGGTCTAATCCACGACATGCCGTCTAACCACATTCCCACCCTAATAACTGCGCAGCTCTCATCAGCCAAAAGCCACATAATGCACCTTTAATACACCTATAATCCTCCACAGGACGGGATGTGAGCAGGAAACCGGCCGCATGTTGTTTGTGTTTGCGGCCGCCGACGCCGCTGCTCGCTCGCCTGTTTGGTTGGTGTGATTTTGGTCGGATTTTCGGAGGGCTGGCAGACCCCTACAGACCCCCACAGACCCCCACAGACCCCCACAGACCCACATTCCTGCCTGAGAGCCAAGAAAGAGGCGAGACGAGCTGACACTGAAGAGTCTGTGTGGCCCAGAGAGAGAGAGAGAGAGAGAGAGAGAGAAGGCAGAAAACACATTTTATTTTCTTTCATTTTAAATCTGACACTCTGTGATCAAACAGCTGATTATTTTCAAAAAGAAATGAATTGTTTCTTTCCTTCTTTCTTTCCTTCTTTCTCTTTCAGTGATTCCTTTCCTATCCCTCCTCTATTCATATTTCTTTCTGTCGTTCCACAAATCTTTTTGTTGTTTTTTTGTCCTTCATTCCTTCTGTTTACTTTCTTCCTCTCTTCTTCTTTTTTCTTCTTTTCTTCTGTACTTCCTACCTTTATGTGTCATCGCTCTTCTCTTCCTTTGTTCCCTCTGTGCTCTCCACTTCTCTTCTGTTTCCTCCTCTTTTCCCTATTTTCTTTCCTTCCTCTTTTTTTACCTTCTTCCTTTTGTGTTTGCTGCTTTCCTTCGTCATTTCCTCCTTTGTGTCGTTTATTGTTTCCTTTCTTAACCCTTTCTATTCTTTTTCTTAATTTTTCCGTCATTCCTTTGTTATTTTTCCTCCTTTCCTTGTTTCCTTCTTTGTGTTATTGCTCCTCTCTTCCTTTGTTCCCTCCGTGCTTTCCACTTCTATTTCCTCCCCTTTCTCTATTTTCTTTCTTCCTTCCTTTCAGTATGTTGTGTTTTTCCATCTTCCCTTGCTTCTTTTTATATTTCCTTCCCTCTCTCTCCCCCAACCCTCTCCTTTCTGTCCTTCCCCGTTTTGGGCATTCTCAGTCATGTTGCAGTGTGGAAGCGAGTCGTGTAAAACATCTGAATTAAATAGAAAATGTATTGAATGATGTCACCACACTGGCATCCTTTCAGAAAACAGCAGTTTATGAGTTTCAACTTCCAGAACCGAACGTTATTGCTCATTACTGCGCAGCCAAACTCTGTTCAGATTCACAGAACATTATTTTATTATCTTGTGGAGATCCCAACTTTTAAGATACCACATATGTGTGTTGTGGACCATCAGCAACAGGGTACACGCTATATCTGTGACACTGACTGTACTGTTGCATTAACACGCTGGTCTCTCACCGTCTCACCATGTCTCTCCTCTCCGTCCCTCAGGATGAATTCCATCCTTTCATCGAAGCCCTGCTGCCCCACGTCCGGGCCTTCGCCTACACATGGTTCAACCTGCAGGCCCGCAAGAGGAAGTACTTCAAGAAGCACGAGAAGCGCATGTCCAAGGAGGAGGAGCGCGCCGTGAAGGACGAGCTGCTCAGCGAGAAGCCCGAGGTCAAACAGAAGTGGGCGTCGCGCCTCCTGGCCAAACTGCGCAAGGACATCCGGCCCGAGTTCAGGGAGGACTTTGTGCTGACGGTGACGGGGAAGAAGGCGCCGTGCTGCGTGCTGTCCAACCCCGACCAGAAGGGCAAGATGAGGAGGATCGACTGCCTGCGCCAGGCGGACAAAGTGTGGAGGCTGGACCTGGTCATGGTGATTTTATTCAAAGGGATTCCCCTCGAAAGTACTGACGGGGAGAGGCTGGTAAAGTCTCCTCAGTGTTCGAACCCCACCCTGTGTGTGCAGCCGCATCACATTGGAGTTTCAGTCAAGGAGCTGGATCTCTACCTGGCCTACTTCGTGCACGCAGGTCAGTCCCAGACTCTCTTCTTCCTGTGTATGTTTGAGTGTGTGCGATGTGATGCTGAGCAGCTTGTTGTCGCTCAGTTGTTCGCTCTGTGTGAAAGAGCGATGGACGCTGGATGGAAACATGACGAACACGTGCGGTGAACGTCCTGTCGTTGTTTGTATGTGACCGAACAGTTTGCAGCCGGTCAGAGTTCTGAGAGCAGAGGATGTGTGTTGGTTGGTTGATGTAAGCTGATGACTCGAATAATGGATGGGATGAGTGCGACAGATACTTGCACAGCCAATTATCAGCTGATTATATTAAATATATATCAGTATATTGGTGTTGGATAATGATTAACAGTAAATGTCAGTGGAAAAATGCTAAAGACCTATTTGATGTCTTAATAACAGTGTCTCTACTTGGGCTGTGTACTGGTAAGAATCTGACGATATGATACGTATCGCGATAATTTATCGCGATATATTGCGATATATTGCGATACTGTAAACAAGGTCATATGTTGTGATGTAGTTTTTAAAAAGTTGACTTTTCTGGTTGCATTTAACACAAAAATCAATGAAGTATTTTTGAGTATTTAATATCCCAAAGCAAAACAGAGCGATAGGATATTTTTCGATATTTTCTTAATCACAGTTCCTCCTCTGCAAAGCAGCTGATCTTTGAGAAACTGGATTGTTCGCTGTCGGTTTAGCTTGAGACCAGCAGAATGCAGTGATATTCCTTTAGTGAACCTGGAGAGGAAGATTTAGACCCCTGACGGTAATCCTGCACTCTTTCATACAAACATGAAATATAAAGTGGCCGAAAGTAACTTTGTACTAAAGCTGTGTATTAGCTATAATCTGGCGATACGATACGTATCACGTTACAGAGTTTACAATTCAATATATTGTGATATATTGTGATACTGTAAGTAAAGTGATATATTGCACTTTTTAAATTTAATTTTAGGAAAAAAGTGTAAAAAAAAGTTTATTTTCAGCTCTGTGTGTTTTATGGATTCTGCCATCGGTTGTAACGTTACAGTCTTCGATCTTTGCTAATGCTAGCGTCTTACTTTCTATGATTCCTGTGTTATTTCTGTTTACGCTAGCAATGTGTGCTTACTTATATGTGGAAGAGTCCAGTGGCTGAATAGAGACTGCCACAAATCCTCGCAGGTAAACTATGAATTAAAACTCGATACAGAATTATAAAACTTAATGTTACGATATTTATTTACACCTCTACTTTGTATAAATGTCGACATGTTTTCCTGGTTTGTCTCAGCTGGTTTGTTGCAGCTTCTTGTCTCGTTTTCAGTCAAAGTCTTTTTTATGTCGACCATCAGGTGACGTCAGCTAACGTTATAAGCAAATAATGATAAGGTTATTTCAGTGGAAGGATGCAGCTACACCAGCTTCTTGTAAAACATCCACTTTTTATTTAATTCTTGTTGTGGAAAATAAATGTTTTCATCATTTTCCTGAATGAGATTTACAGCGTCTGACAGGAGACGTTCAATCTGAGGCCAGTGGACGATCTGAAACTTCACCTCCACACTTTTTGCTCTCAACTCGTTTATCAGTTTGAGGATGACGATCCTCTCACAGCAAACTGCTCTCTGTCTCAGAGACAAACATGTTATCTGCTGCAGACAGGCATACTTCCATCAGCGGTCAGTAAAGCAGAAGTCTGAGGAAGAGGAGGCGTCTCTGCCAGAGCTTCCTCACGCCGGCTGCGAGTGGAGCGGCTCGGGGTGTTTGGTGGGTGAAGCTGGCAAACCTTTCAGGACTGCTCGCTCAGTTAAAAAAAAAACACAATTATCTCCGGAGTGATTGCTCAGCACGTTTCCCGATTTCCGGCTGATTCCACGGGAAAATAATTTGGCTGGTTGGAATATTTCTGTGTGCGGCAGCGAGCGGTGGCCGAGGCGTGTGGAGGAGACGTTTGGCAGACGCTCTGAATACTTGGCACAGAGCTCGGTCTAAGTTTGTTGGAGTTTTTTTGACAAAGGAGGAAAGCTTCCAGATAGTCGGGTAAAATTATCTCCAGGGTGCACTCTCAGATCTCTTCCAACTGAAACTTAAATATGTCCTTCTTATCGTTTTAGACCACTCTTATTTTCAGTCTGTATTTCAACCTGTTCCCAATAAAAAGCCAATTCCTTCAAGTATTTTCTAAATTAATTTTTTTTTTCTTGACCTCAAGGTCCATTTAGTAGCTGCTCCTTTCGATCGTATCACATGATCATCAACAGGAGCAGAAGCCACCATGAAGAGATATGATCATGTGATTAAATGATGATGATTAAAAGCCCCAGAACCAGGTTTTAAATGGCATCAGGTTCATTTGTTGTTTTATTTCTTGATAAACACGTTAGAAACCCCGATATGGTTCAAATACAGACCGAACCTATAATACCTATAGTATCAAAAATTTTCTCAGATAAAAATTGATAAAGTTCATTTTTAGCAGAAAAAATAAAAATAGAATTTTTTGTTTAGAAATTTTGCAGACTTGGATTTATTGAAAATATATCATGAAGTTTTTTAAAGTTAAGTCAAAAAATGTAACTGGAAAACATTTTTTAAAATCTTTTTTTAGGGTCCAAATATATTCGGAACTCATTTGAATAAGATTGTAATGTTTCAGCGAGTACAAAATCGTAAAACCTGACGTGATGAAGAGACGTTGAGGAAGAAAAGAAGTGTTTTTGAGATTAAATGTAGATGTTCCCTTAGTTCTCTGGGTGTTTCTGCGGAGGTAAAGTTTCAGCTGTGATCCGTCAGCAGACACAAACACTGAGCCCAGCGCTGTGGAAAGATCTCCGTCCTTAATTACAATCATTTCCTCTGGCAGACTAAAGCCTCTGTGAGCCCAAAGACTGCTCCCTTTCTCCTCCTCTCCGTCCAGATAGCCTCTCAGCCCTCCTCTGTGTGTCTGTGTGTGTGTGTTCGCTGTGCGGTCGCAGTAATCAGCTGTGTGCAGGTTCACACTGAGCTCCCTTCAGTCGGGGGGAAAAAGTTTGGAGGCCTCTGACGGCGCTGCAGTCGCTGGTCTGCGGTTTCAGCCGAGGGTCTTTCAGCTCCGACCCATTCTCGGCCAAAAACTCAGTGAGGTTTCTGTTTGAGTAAACTCGCTTTTAGTTGCTTGTCATCAACAGAAACACAGACAGGGATAATTTGTGGCGAACGCAGTGGCAATTCTCGAGTTTATGTTTTAATTTTCTCTTCTGCTAAATTTAGGTTTTATGTTTGAGAGACCTTTGCCACCCAGATCCAGAAGCCTTTTCATCCCACAGTGTTCAGGACTTTGTGTCTTTTGAATGAGGTGAGAGGGAGAAGACTGGACGCCCCCCTCCTCCTCCCCTCTCCCCTCTTCCTCCCCCTCCCTCACCCCCGGTCTGGATGCAGGAGGATCAGGTTTCCTGCCTCTCATTTAAGGCAGCGGAGCT